CCTGTTAATAGTGTTTGTGGACAGTATATCATGCTTGTATCTTGTACTATGAATAACCACTATGAAGGCAACAATATGCAATGTATTAATTATTGAAACTGTTCTATTAATTCGTTTTGAAACTGTCTCATTGCTATTTGTTTCTTAATAAAATTATTTAAAAAAATGAAATTCTGCTTCATTTAATTATTTAAAATTCTCTTTAAAGGCAATAGTAGAGACACTGATGGCCCTTTAGACAATTAAAACCAGGATTTCAGTCAAGCTTCAAGTCAAACACACATGGCAGTCCCCAGCCTCATTCAGGAGTTCGGGTGCCTCACAGGCTTACCACACTGCTGGTCGGGACCCTAGTGAGCAAGTGGTCTCCTTCAGAGACATCTGGAATGAGACATATGAAGGACAATTTGTGACCCTATCCTTGAGCCACTGGGCTTCACATCCCCAAGAGAAGTGGCCAGAAAGAAAGTATTGCTCAGACAGATCACTCAACAAGGCAAGATGGTGCCATGCTGTGATCCCAGCAATGGTGTACACAGCAGTGGATTGTAGCTTGTTTTCTTAAGGCAGGGACTTTATCCCCCTTGTCATCCTTCCAGGGCTCCACTCTTAATTCTCCCTGAAGCCTCAACACTCAGATCTCTTACACAGGCAGAAGGATGCTTTGTGTACGTGACTGTTGTCCTCTTCCTAAGTGACTCAGACCACAGGGCAATTCCCTGAGGATCCCTTATGTCCTTTCTGTTTCTGAAAATAGTGACAGATATGCTGGAATAGATAGCAGCTCAGGGTCTAATCTCTTGTTCCCTGGTGAGCACCCAGATCTGGGCTAAATTGGCTCAGAGCAGACAGCCTGTCGTTGCCAGTTCAGAATGTTCTCTGTTGCCTGCGTCACTATTCCCTGAGCTTTTCGAGGTCCAAAAGAATCACAGAACCTATATACATAAACATGACCATACCACTTTCTTTTTTGCTTTTCTTCATTTTCCTTTCACATTTTTGTTTATTTTTGAGACAAGGTGTTTTTCTGTTTTATTATTTAATTCCACTGACTTTATAGTTCAGATTCAATTCAAGATGGCTCTTATCTCAGCATACTAAGTTCTGACATTTCAGAGAAGTGGAATACACACCTGTCACGTTCTTTATTTATGTGCTTATGCTCCAGAATTAAATAGGGAAGAGAAACAATGGGAGAAATACCAGAAATTATTTATTTAAGGTATAAAACTCACTCTGTGGTGTCTTGTACAAAAAAGAAAAACTGAGACTCGATCAAAGGAAAGGCTCCAGTGCTTCTATATTTCATGGAAGTGGGCTTGTGTTTGGGATTGTGGAATGGCGAGAGTGCAAAAAATATTGGAAAAGTAAAAAGAAGGCTCTTACTTACTCAAAACAAGTTCCACCACTCTGGTTTGAAAGAAAACAAATTTCAGGAATTATAAGATATCACAGGACTCTTTAGAGAACTACACTTTTCAGCCTTATTTATCAATCTTGAAAGGGGACATATTCCAGGGCAGGAGCAGGTTCAGTTTAGGGAAATATGATGGTGTGCGCAAACATTATCAAAGGTCAGTGGTTACATGGAGGAGGTTTCAAGAGGTGCTAGGATGGAAAAACTGCTTTCCCTCAAAATATTGCTTTAGCTACAGTGAGTTTGCATGGTCACATACACACAAACCCTGGGCTCACAGGTTCAGCTATGACAGTGTCTATCAACTCCACTGCTGACAAGCAAACTGTACTGATCAGATGAAGTTAAGATGCACAATATGCAGAGACATCTCTGGAACAGGGCATAGCATAGTGGTTTGGGCCCGTTTCTTCTGTCCCACACAGTTTGCCCCCTCTCTATATTGCATAACCCTGACTGTTGGGGAAGAGACATTATCTTGTTACATATTCTGTAAGAGCTGCTGGCAACAAGCTCACTAGTCCTGGATTTGGCAAATCAGGGATCCACCCACTCAAGGAGTGACAGACTCAAGAATATAAGCAGCAAACTCTTGGCAGTCTGTCAAGCCTTTTTTTCTCTTCTGGAACCTTCCAGGCCAACAGCTGCTCTGTAGCCATGACAGTGCATCTTATGTGTCTGGGCTTCATCCTGCAGGGTGCTCTGAAGATACAAGCTCAGGACTCTCTTCCATCTTCGACCCCAACTCCACCTCTGAGCAAGTCCCCCCTACAGAAAGATTTCCAATATGAACGGGTAGGTTTCTGGAAGAACACTTAAAAGAGGGTTAATGAATGGAGCATATAGAAAGAGGGAAGGGGATATGTTATGAGATTGAATGACTGTTGAGAGGGAGGAACTAGAAAATCCAAGGCCTATCCATGTTTGATTGAACATCTGCAGCTTTTCTTTCCAGTAGCAGTGTGAGGTTGTAGAAGACCCACTTTACATTTATACTGCACCATTCCATCACTGGAAACTCAGTGAAAACTCCATAGTCATGATTATCCTTGCCTCGTAAGACCCGAACCGTTACTGTCTTTCCAGAATTGTTTATTCCTTGGGCATTGGCAATGGGTGGGCTATGCAGAAGTACCAGCAGGGACATGATGGGAATTGTGCATCTGGTTTAACCTCTGGTCTCTATCATCGTACCCTTGCAGTTCCAGGGAAAATGGTACACCATGGTTTGGGCCCCGAACATATTTTGGAATATAAGCCAAAGCAAAGCCATCTTGCAAAGCATCAACTATACACTAAATGATGACCACAGCTTCAATGTCACATCTAATCTGCTCAGGTAATGCTGTCACATCCTGGGGTCTGATAGACAGAATGGTGATATTACCAATGGCTTAAGCAATTGACAGAATGTGCCTCTTATTGAATCAATGCTCCTTCATTCTTTCCTCTGGCATTCCAAGAGTCTCTTCACTCAGTTCTCCTCTTCTGTTGCTGCCTCCTTCTCATCTTCTCATTCTGGTTGAGCCCCTCCACTGATATCCAAGAGTGGGTGCAGCAAAAGCACAGTAAGGAGAAATGAGAAAGAATAGTGAGTTATCCCAGTGTGGATGAGGTACATGGGTTTCTACATATAACCAGACCTATGATAGATCAAGGGACTTTAGACAAGTGAGCTGATGTAGTCTATAGTTCTAGCAGGCCTGGGTCCAGAGGTCAATGTATGAAGTTAATACTTTCAAATTCATGAGGGGAAAGTCAGGGGGTACTTTCAACTTTAGATATAAAGATGTCCCCATGAATATAGCTCAATGCCAATGTTGTGTGTTCAAACCACTTTGCCACTACTACAGTCACCATCATCAGCCATAAAAGTGATACATCTGTTACAGTAAGCCTTGGTGAAGTCACTTTGAACTACAGCAAAGCATTCAGCCATCATCATGGTCCCTAATCAGAGACTGATGAGCTTCTGTGAGGGGAGCACTTCTGGGCCAGGAGCGCATCTAACTCAAGCAAGAATGTGGTCTAGGGGCTTATAAATCAGAGAAGCTCAGAGCCATGGAAACAGCAAGGCTCATAAAACAAGCAGATTATCTCAAGTAGGCACAGCAGAGGATGACAGATGTGGGGCAGTTGGGTTAAGCAGTGTTTCCTGTAGCAATCTTACTGCAGTGCATTATGATTCTAGGAGCTGTTTGGTTTACACTTGGGGCACTTGAAGATTGAGGGGTATGGGATTATGATGAGAGTTATGCTGACTCAGCTGAAAGGCAAGTTTTTGCATTGTCCGTGACTCATCCACATGGCTGCACTGACAAAGGTTCTACAATCTGAGGTACAGGATCTCAGGATAAATCCTGAGGGCATTTCACTGACCTTCTCAAACCAAAAAGCTACAACTCTTGTTGCATAGGTTCTGCTAAAGGACAGGATACTGATTCACACTTAACACAATGGAAACTCACAAGAATTTGCATGAAAAGTTCAGAGAGGTTAGCAGCAAAGTGAGTGCAGTACATCCGTGCATGGGACCATGATTTCATCAGGCTGCCTCAGGGTGGTATCAGGGTTGAAACAGTGGGAATGGGTAGGTTAAAGAGACCAGAAGACCAGGCAGAGGCTCTGAGTGGTAGTCCAAGTGCCTCCCATGTGGGCCAGGTGGGGCCCCTGCCATGATGAGGGACATGCTTGTTTGGGCTGAAGCTCCAAATCCTACAGAAGCTCGGGTCCAGTTTTCTATAACCCAGGGAGAATGATCTTGTGCCTTATTCTTCTGCATCTTGGTCAACCCCACTTTTCTTCACTCTTACAGGGATGGAAAATGTGAACACAAGTATGATGTTTTATTCCCAAGTGGTAAATCAGGCCTGTTCTTCTTCAAAAATATAAGAAGTGAGTCCTGGTTGAGGGAGGCCTGAACCTGCATTTTACAAGCATAATCCTTGCAGAAAGGAAGAAGCTTCCAAGCCCGTTCACACAGAGAAACCCTTTGGGAGAAGCTGATGATAGTGGCTTGGGGAGAATGGGGGCAGACTTCTCTACCTGGTCAGTCAAGCATGAGAATTAACCCGCACTCCCCCTGCAGGTTATAATGGATTGCAGAAATTCACGTTCAAAGTGCTAGACACTGACTACAATCAGTTTGCCACAGTGCTCTTAAACAGGATTGGGCAAGAAGTGATGTACATTGAGCACAGAGTCTACGGTGAGCCATCCCTGAATCCTCTCAGAGTCTTGGTGGGTGGGACTTGTAGAAGGTGGCCTCAGTCCTTGAGAGCCTAAAGCTTTCCCTCCTCTCATAGGGAGGAGGTCTCTTCACAGATTCCTCATGGGAAAGGTTCTCTGAGGTCATTTCCTCAGGCAACAGTGTTTATGTTTAGGTGGTGGCCCACACCTGTATTAAAGCAGAAGTTGGCTGAGAAAGGAAAGTTGAAATTTTAAAGCCAGCCAAGATCCAGGCTTAAATGTGTAATTAATATACATATCTCTCTTTATTTTGATGCTACTTGCATCTTGGTTGCAGCAAGGAGTAAGCAATTGAATCCTGAATTGAAGGAGCACTACCTTAATGTGACAAGAAGTCTGGGCCTTCCGGATCGTTTTGTCACATTCACTGACCATCACGGTAAGGGGCATCTGGAATGACGGAAGTAGAATGTTTGGTCTATCCATTTCTGATGCTAGTCCACCAGGCACAGAAGACAAGAGATACTCAGGGTCCTGGTCTAGTCACTGGGGTGATGATGGCTTCCAACCCTAGATCTCTGTGGCCTCAGGTTTTTAGAACAAACTGTTCCCTAAGGTAGTTTAGCCAAGTCCTGACTAGAGAACTGGTTTTATCTTGGGACCGAATGTGCCAAATATCCCTAGTCTTACTTTCCTGTGCCATGTCCCACCCATAGCTTGTGATTTGCTACTCTCTCCTACCACCTTCCTGATTTCTTCATTCTGACTGTCATGAATTATCTCATGTGCCCTTCAGCTTCATCATTCCTGATGTGGCAGACCCCCTTAGTCTTATAAGGCCTACTGTGGGAAGGTGCACCACACATTCCACACAGGGCTGCTGGCTGAAAATTGTCATATCCTACTGTTAACCAGACCAGAAGTACTTATGCCAGAGCAGATGTGAGGCCTTGCTGAATGATTTTTCTGTCCTTACCCTCTGAGTTCAGGGTAACCACAGATTCTGTTCAGATAGGCCAGACTGGGACTGAGATATTCAATGCACTGCCATATTCTCCAAACCAAAATATTGCTGTCTGTCTGTTTGTCGGTCTGTCTCTGACATTCTTGCTCTGTATTATTTCTCTCCCACAGTTGATTGCTCTGTTCAGTGACCGATTGCGAGGCAGTGAGTATGGCTGGGCTCAGGGTGAAGGGAGGTCCAGGCAGGGTGGGTGCTGGCTCAAAGGGCTGGCTCTGCCCCAACCCTCTCCACACACAAGTGCACACCCCAGCCATTTTACCCTGCTGTGTACTGTCAGGTGCCTCCCATCTGCACATATTGTGTTCTTTGCTTGTTTCATCCCAAGTTGCTACCTGACTTCATCACCAGGCATGATGGTGCTGAGAGAGATGGAAGATTCTTCTTAGAGCACAGCACTCCCAAGTGTCTCCTGGAATGCTACACCATGGGTGAAGCCCATTTAGTTGTCTAAATATAAATTTGCTACGCAGATGCTTTGTGTTTCTTATATACTGGCTCATGATTTGGGGTCAAGACAAAGTGCAGGCCACATGGGCATCATTCAAAGGGCTTTCTGTCTGCACAACCACTCTAGCATCAGTCTCAAAGATAAGAAACAAGACCTGAAGTTCAGGTCATCTGGCCATTTTTTCAGTATTGGTTTCCCTGCGTGTGTTCAGGGAGGATGTCGCACTCTCCCATCATTTCTGCTATGATTGACCAATATAGTTCACATCCTGAGTCCACCTCAAGCAATCATCTGGCCATACTTCATGCACACAAGGAAACCTCAACAGGTCCTTCCTACAGCAGATCCAAATAGGTGCTGGGGAACAGAAGGGTCTGAGAGTATGGCGCAGTAACCCCAGACTTTGAAGGATGCCGTGGATTTTTTTTTATTGATGATGACCAAGCAGATGGACCAGGGAAGAAGGAGACTGTTGTTCTTTTCAGGGGATAAACAGGGGCTGACCTCTTCCCATCTGTCAGTGACCTGTACACACACTACTCTCTGATCCCGACACCTGTGTACTGGGTCCATTGTAACGTTATTTAGAGTTTCTCCCCCACAAGCTCCATGTGAGTATCACTGAAGGTTGCATTCAGATGCCAAGTCAGGGCCAGCAGAAGCGGGGATATGTTCTTAGGTTTCCTTCTTGCTGAGTAAAGATTGCCATGTCTGGCTCTTTGTATAGCTGGAATGACCACAGTCTCCACACTCGTAGCATCAGCTTCCTCTTCAGTTCGTTACAAGCTTCTTCTTTCCTAGTCAGGGCAACATCCTGATTAATTAATGGTATGAAAGACCCAGGTTTTTCCCCTCCACTTTTATGCTGGATGAGAGATCTCTATGCAATGTACACAGTCTGAACTTCAAACCAAGAATGATTAAACAAAATAAAGAAGGTCACTATATATGGGTTAGAGGAAAGCAAGAGGAAGAGATAACCATCATAAATATGTATGCACCAAATATGGGTGCACCCAACTACATAAGACAAATTTTAAAGGACAAGAAAAGTCTATAACCAATATCACATGCTGTACAGGGGACCATAACACTCTCTTATCTCAAAAAGATAGTTCAAGCAGAAAAAACATTAACAAAGAAGTAGCAGAATTGAACCAAATCTTTGAACAAATGGTCTTAGTGGACATGCATAGAGCATTCCACACAATGACACCTGAATATACATTCTTTTCAGCTGCACATGGGACATTCTCTAAAATGGACCACACACTAGTCCATACATCATGCTTAAGTAAATGCAAGAAAACAGAAATTATCCAATGTATATTATCTGACCACAGTACAATGAAACTGGAAATAAATATCAAAAGAAATCACAGAACCCCATAAACATATGGAAACTAAATAACAGCCTCCTCATCAACCAATGGCTTACACATGAAACTAAACACGAAATTAAACAATATTTATAATCCAACCAAAATTCAAACACAATTTACCAGAATTTGTGGAAGGCAATGAAAATAGTTCTCAGATGGAAATTTATAGTGGTGAACTCATGCATTAGGAAAACATAAGGAGAACAAATAAATTCCCTCATGATACCCCTGAAGCTTTTAGGAAAAGAAGAACAAACCAAGTTGAAAGCCCAAAGATGGGAGGAAATTATAAAGATTGGAAAAGAAATTAATGCAATTGAGACAAAGAAAATAATATAAAGATTTAATGAATCAAAAAGCTGGTTCTTTGAAAAATTAAATAAAATTGATAACACTCTAGTCAATGTCATAAAAAACATGAAAGAAAAACCTCAAATCCAAACAATAAGGAATGAAAAGGGAGAAATTATTACAGATCCTGTGGAGATTCAAAAAGCTATTTTGAGAATCTTTACTTTCACAAAATCAAATGCACAGAAGAAAGGGACAGGTTCCTAGATAGGGACAAATTACGAAAATTGAATCAAGAAGATATAAAAACTCTGAATAACCCAATATCAACTAATTAAATTGAAATGTAATAAAAAAATTTACCAACACAGAAAAGTCTGGGTTTGCGGGATTTACACCTGAATCCTACAAGAAATTTAGAGATTTAATTCCATACTCCTCAAACTCTACAGAGAAATTGAAAAGGAAGCAATACTCCCAAAATCATTCTTAGAAGCAAGGATTATATTAATATCAAAACCGAAAAAAGATTTTTAAAAAGAGAATTACAGAACAATTTTCCTCATGAACATTTCTGCAAAAATCCTCAGTAAATTAGTAGTGAATATTATGCAGCAAATCATGAAGAAGATTGTTCACCACAAGGTAGGATTCATCTCAGGGATACAAGGATGGTTCAACATATGCAAGTTTATAAATGTAGTACACTGCATCAAAACAGCCAAATGTAAAAGTCACATGATCATCTCAATAGATGCAGAAAAGGCTTTTGACAAAGTTGAATACTCATTGATGATCAAAGACTTACAGAAAATTAGAATAGATGGACTGTACCTCAATCTGATAAAAGCCATCTCTGACAAACCAATGGCCAATATTCTAAACAGAGAAAAACTGAAAGCTTTTACTCTCAAATCAGGTACAAGACAAGAATGTCTTCAATCACCACTACTATTCAATATAGTTCTGGAATCATTAGCTAGAACAATTAGGGAGAGAAGTAGAAGGAATAAGAATAGGTGGACAAGAATTGAATCCATCAGTATTCACAGATTACATGATACTTTACTGGAAATAACCAAAAAACTCCAGAAGGCAGCTCCTAGAGGCAAGCATTATTACTAAACAAATTTGTTAATATAGCAGAATACAAAGTGAACAATCAAAATTAAATAGTATTCTTCTCCACAAATAACAAAATCACTGAGAGAGAAATTAGAGAAATAAAACCCTTACAATAGCATCCAAAAAATGAAATACTTAGGAATTAATCTAACAAAAGAAGTAAAAGATCTATACAGTGAAAATTACAATACTCTGAAAAACTACATTGAAGAGCATTTCAGAAAATATAAAGATATTCCTTGCTCCTAGATAGTATAACTGACTTTGTGAAAATTACCAAACACACAAATTGTGACATAGATTTAATGCAATCTCTTTTTTTATTAACTTTATTGAAAATCAATAACTGCATAATGTATTAAAATTGTAGACAAATATTGAAATATGAAAGATATAAGATGTTGACAGAGTGAATTTCAGAGAAATATTTCTGAAATGAATACGTAGCATGAGATTAATAATAGATTGCACACCGTAAATAAATTATTTACAAACTTAAATGAATATAATAATAAAAATTGTCCAAAATAAAAATGAAGAAAGAATTTACAGTTCAGTAATAATGGTTCACTGTGTCAAAATCAAGAAACTTATACTCATAGAATTAGAATTCTCAAGGTAGAAAGGGGTAGGCGATAAATATTTAAAGATTTAAAATTTCTGAATTTAGTTGAACTTATAACACCACATTTTCAAGAAAAATGAACCTTTTGCACAAGAAATGTGAATAAAATCATACCAAGATACACAAACATGAAATTGTCCAAAACTTATTGTAAAGAAAAAAATCACTAAAGCATACACATAAAAAATATTAGTTATGGAAGAACAAAATTAAATAGCATCTTATTCCACATTAGAAAGAAAAAAAAAGACCAAGTGTGTAAGAAACTAGACTAATTAAAGGACTGAAACAAAAAAAGAGATATCCTTTTTGAATTTTTTACTTAGCAAACATACCTTTGAAAACTAAAAGTAAAATATTTCCACTTATACGAACTCAAACTATTCTAATACCTCCAGATGTAGCATATAGGAAATAACAAACAGCATAATTCAGAAGGAAAGAGAAGTTTTTGCATGATTCTGTATAAAGAATAAAAAGGTCTCAAAATGATAGTTATGCAGGACTAGATAAAATATACTAGATGAACCCATTTAAAATGTCA